AATAATTAAATTATAACAAATTAAATTATTTTCTTGACAAGATGAATTGGAAGTATATGGATATGTCAAAGCATTAATAAATGGCAATGAAATAGATGAAGATGGAATAATATTTCCAAATTCTCTAAAACATTGTTCTTGAGGTGTGACATATGAATATATATTAGAATTTTCTTGATTATTTAAAAGACAAAATGATGGAACCAATACTCTTATTGGTAATGGAGTCAAAAGGAATCTTTTTAATTCATATATAGAAGGAACTTTGGATAATTTTCTTGTAATAAGTTGTTGAAATAAATCCATTTTGTTGAAGAAATTTTCCTAATTATAATAATACATTACATATGAAATCATATAAAAAATATATATATAGTATTTTATATATAATTAATATAAATATATAATTTATATAATATATAAGTGAATTATTTTTTTAACTTACTTTTGATATATTATTATTTCTTAATAAATATGGTTTTTGTTCCAAATCATTAAATTTTAATAATAATTCTAAAAAATAAAAAATAAAATCATCAAAATAATTATATTTATAATTATTATACAAAAATTTTGATCAAGTAATTTAATGAGTAATTACCTTCAGGTTCATAATAATTCTCATTATTATAATATCCTAAGAATATCAAAATTCAAAAGTTTGTAAATAAAAAAAAATTTCAATTTTTTTTTAATTAATAAATTAAATTGTAACATTTTCTTACCATGTAAACGTAAAATTTCAGCTTCTAAATGTAAAATTAATAATCCTGAAATACCCATTTTAAAGAAATCATTTCTTGTCATTTTCAAAAAAGTTTTCCCATCAATTTGTTTCAATCTAAATTTATATTCAGATTCTTTATTAAATAAATCTTTTCGACAATAACCTTCAACACTAAACATAACTTTTAAATGATAAATGAGTTTTTGAACATCCCATTTCTTAATTATATCAAGATCAATTGTTGGAAAATTTAAAATATTCCAATATTCATGTTTTACTCGAGAAATTGATTTATTATTTTCAACTTTTTTTTTTTAAAAAAAAAATAATAATTTTTTTTTATGATTAAAATTATTATATTATCGTTTTATAAATTTATAAAAAAAAAAAAAAATATTTTATTATTTTAAACTTACGTAATTTTTTGTTCAAGTTTCTTTTATTATTATTATTTCTTGTCATGATATTTTATTATTTTATCAAAAGAATTTTTTTTTAGNATTTTAAACTTACGTAATTTTTTGTTCAAGTTTCTTTTATTATTATTATTTCTTGTCATGATATTTTATTATTTTATCAAAAGAATTTTTTTTTAGATAAAATTTGGGTTTTTTTATTGTTTATTTAGAAAATTTGGTTTTTTTAGATAAAATTTGTAAATAATAAAAAAACCACATCTTGTGTATTTATTTATATATTCTCATATTCGTCATAAATCGTCATAACATTTGAAAATTTCGTATTAATTTCGTAAAAAAAAAAAAATTTTATATATCGCAAATTTATATTCAGTATTTTAACAAAAAATGCCGCGTGATTCATTGTTAAGTTGTACATTGTTGTTACCCTTTGCCAAGCAACCAAGCAATATGGCTTGAAAAAAAAAACCAAGCGCGGATTAAAAATTTGCGCATTGCGCAGCAAATCATAAAAAGAAGAAATTTTTAAAAGATTCAATAAACCTCGATAGTCTTGAAAGGTGAAAAGATTCTTTAATTGCTATTTTAATTGTTACTTCGTGTAACTTGCGATTATAAGTTAGAAAAAAAATATATATATCTTTTTACGCTTTTATTAAATTTTCGGGTAGGTCGATCGGCTGCGCCACTGCATTATTTTGATTTTACTCCATCTGTTGATATTAAATATTAATTAAAAATTATTATAAAACATTTGCTTACAACTAAAAATTTAACATATGAAAAGAGTAGAAAATTTTATGAGGCTAAGAAAAAAAAAATGGTACAAAAAATTTGCAACAATTTGATTTGAGAATTTAATAGAAAAAAAGATAAAAAAATGGATGAACAAGCAGGTAAAAAAAAAAAAGATGACAAATATGATCTCTAAATATTTAGTAATTGCTGATGAAATTGAATTAATTATTTATTAATTAATTTATTTGTTTTATAATATTATCTATTTATTATTATTATTATTATTTTGAAATAAAGAAGCTAATAAACAAATAAGCCACAAAAATTGACGAATCAGATATTGTGCACATTGATAAAAAAATCCGGTGAATTTTTTAAAAAAAATACGATGATTCAGGTTGTTCTTTCCCGTAACCTTCTCATTCAATAGAAGAAGTTTGTGCACTTGCACACGATATTAATGAGTGTCAGTACGTCAAATTAAATTATCAAACGAAATTGAAAACGCATCGGATCAAAAAAGTATATTATTTATTAGAATACTAGGAATAAGACTGGCATCTTACATACTACATGACCGGAATCTTTCACATTTGGTACAATTTCCGACATTTTCTAAATATACCGGA